ATGTTAAAATATGTTTCACAATTTTAACATACAAAATGTAACATTTTACACTTGACTTGTTTTAGTAACTTTATTTTCATGTGAGATTACTTGCCAATAGTATTTGGCCAAAGCACATTTCTATTAATATTGAGACTGAAATGATTTTTTTTCTGTTATGTTTTTGTGACAACAACTAAAACATAATATAAACAACTCAATAAATCATCAATATCTGGGAAAATGACTCTGTTATTGTCTTGCATTATTGACAAACTATTTTCCTGTTTGACACTGTAAAGCTGCTTTGACACAATCAGTATTGTATAAAGCGCTATAAAAATAAAGGTGATTTGACAAATGAAAATGTAACAAATTGGAATGTAAATTTGTTGGACAATTTTAAGATCTTTCTTTCTTTCTTAGATTGTAATGCAACAAATAGTTATAACATGAGTACTTCGCTTTGATGTAGCCCACATTGTGTTTCATTAATCATGTTCACCGAAGAATTGTGTGTTCTCATCCATCTGTTCAGGTGAAAATCGCCTAAGGTACTTCCAGCGTCTGATCAATGGAAGTTATACTCCGCTCACTCTTCCAGTTGGTGGTGAAGAGGCCTATGAAGTTTCTCCACGCAGCTTGGCTGAAGCCCTGCTGGTAAAAACTAAACCAGATTATGCCATTACATGTGACATTAATTAAAGAAAGAATCAGAACATTTAAGATTGTACTACAAAACAAAAAGTTAAAGACAGTTCTTTTTACAGCTGCACGAAGAGAGCCATTATCAAAGTAGCTTTGGGCAGCTGGATTCATTTTATCAAATTGGTTTGTTCAGACTGGTTCTCAAACAATTAAATGATTCAGAACCAAAACAAAAGTTTATTTATTTATTTATTTATATATTTTTTGTACTACAAATGCTCATATTATGTATTTCTGAACATCATAGTTTTTTACTCCGTAGGACAAATTAATGATTTAAAATTTAAATTGATTTAAGATGAATTGTAGTTTTTCCTCATCTGTTGAATAGAGGGAAACTCTGCACATAAAAGTTACTGTCATTTTTTTTTATTTTTTATATTTATTCAATAACTTGTGTGATTAATAATGTAATGTGGAGTATTGAGATTTTTTTTTTATCATGACAAGTAAATGCATTTAAATGTCTGAATCTATTAGTTAACACATAATTTTAGTACAAAAGGTATTTTACATCAGCACACTGTATAACATGCTCTCTCTCCAGCAGAAACCTCTTTATCTCTAATCCAGTTTATCAGTTCAGCAGGTGGTTAAATGGACACAGACTGAAATGCACATAATAACTGCTACCAGCAGAGAGCTGCACGCTATAACAACATGCACTTTGAACGGTCCTCCCTCAGTTATGGCCATTATCACACAGTGAAGCCATTTGAAAACAGAGTGCCGTTAACTAATGTTTATACAATGTATTTGATTAGCGTGTTGATTGTTAATGCCATTAGAAAAGACCAAACAAGTGATTTTGTTTACAGAAAGTTTGCATTGTGATATTCGGAAATGTGTTTAAGTTGGTTGTGATTTTGTGTCCACAGCCCTTGCGAAGACTGTCCGAAGGCAGTTCTTCTGCAGTCGGAGGCACGGCCACACCGGGCGGCACCAACACGCCCATGTCCCTGGATACTGCCTACTCCAGCCTAAGGCAGGATACGCCCCAGTCCCAGGGTACCCCGCACACCCCGCGCCCATCAGGCACCCCGTTCTCTCAGGACTCCAGCTACTCCAGCAGGCAAGGCACTCCGGCGTTCCAGTCGAACCGTGCTGAATCCTCGGGAGGCTACAAGTCGAGACGGCATGAAACCAAATTCCAGGATGCCTACAACCGAAGACCGGAGAGGCATTATGTCCACGGCACAGGAGGAGGGGTGCATCGTGGTAACGCAGAGCAACCGCCCAGTTTTAAGCAACATCAGCCCCCGGAGCCGCCGTCACCTGCTTTTGCGCACACGCCTCCACCACCAGCCAGTGCAAATTTCAAGAATACTTTCTCTCCTTATCCCCGACTCAGGACTCCGAGCGCAGCAGCGTGGACTCGCGCATAGAAATGCTTCTGAAGCCCTTCCTGACTGACCGCGGAGACTCGGACGCTGAGGTGCGCATGGACGGGAGTCCGATTTCTTCGTCGTCCTCTCAGCTCTCCCCCATTCTGCCCCAGCGGCCCTCGCGCCCTTCAAGCACCGGCCTGGAGGACATCAGCCCAACGCCACTTCCCGATTCGGACGATGACGAACCTATTCTTGGTACTGCTTCCCAGTTAGCAAACTCTAGGGCCATGTCGCCCTCCATGCACAGTAAAAGCAGGGCAGGAGAACCACGGACGCCCATTGACAAAATGGACACGGTAAGACCTGAGATATGATCTCTCTTTCCTGAACTTAACTGTCAAGTCACATTTGTTTATATAGTGTACGGGTGGGCGATATGGCAAAAATATCATTATGGAAAAAAAATATATCACGATTTTTTTATTTTTTTGAAATATCACGATTTTTTCACGATTCTTTGTCATGTTGGTTTTACTATTTTGCAAGTTGTCTGAGCATTACAACCAAACTAATTTCCCTATTATAAAGACAAACCATTTCAAGGTAACAAAATATAAAACAGAATGGCGGATTTTTTGACTAAAGTGGGCGAAGATAAAAATCTTTCATTATTTTATCTGCTATTAAAA